GCTTAAAACTGTCATGACATTTGTTTGGGAAAATTAGGTTTGAATAGTATGGGAATATCAGCATCTGAACATATTATAGTGCATCTGGAAAGTATTCACAGCACTTCACTTTTTACACATTTTGTTATGTTACAGCCTTATTCCAAACTGTATTAAATTTATTTATTTTCTCAAAATTCTACACACAGTACCACCCCATTATGACGATGTGATTTTTTTAAAGATTATTGCTATTTTATTAAAAATAGAAAACAAGGAACTCACATTTACTTCAGTATTCAGCCTTTTTCATGAAGCGCAAAATTGAGCTCAGGTGCATACAGTTTCCACTGATTGTCCTTGAGATGTTTCTACTACATATATGGAGTTCACCTGTGGTAAATTCAGTTGATTGGACTTGATTTGGAAACACACACCTGTCTATAGAAGGTCTAACAGCTGACAGTGATGTCAGAGCACAAACACCAAGCATGAAGTTAAAGGACTGTCTGTAGACTCAGAGACAGGATTGAGTTGAGGAACAAATCTATCTCTTTCAAGTCTGGACTCTGGCTTGGCCCCTCCAGGACCTTCACAGAGTGGTCCTAAACCCACTCCTCTGAGATCTTGGCCATGTGGTTTGAGTCGTTGTCTTCTGAAAAATGAATCGTCTCCCCAGTCTGAGGTCCAGAGCGCTCTGGAGCAGGTTTTCATCCAGGATGTCTCTGATCATTGCTGCATTCATCTTTACTTTAATCCTGACTAGTCTGTTCCTGCTGCTGAAAATCATTCCCATAGCATGATGCTGCCACCACCATGCTTCACTGTAGGGATGGTATGGTTCTGGTGATTACCTGGTTGCCTCCAAACATGACGCCTGGTATTCACACCAAAGAGTTCAATCTTTGTCTCATCAGACCAGAGAGTTTTGTTTCTCCTGGTCTGAGACTCCTTCAGGTCCTTTTGTCAAACTCCAGACAGGCTGACATGTGCCTTTTATTAGGGAGTGGTGTTCGTCTGACCACTCTACCATACAGGCCTGAGTGGTGGATTGCTGCAGAGATGGTTATCCTTCTGGAAGGTTCTCCTCTCTCTATAGAGGAACACTGGAGCTCTGACAGAGTGACCATCAGGGTCTTGGTCACCTCCCTGACTAAGGCCCTCCTCCCCCAATCGCTCAGATTAGATGACCAGCTCCAGGAAGAGTCCTGGTGGTACCCAACTTCTTCTATAAACATGAATAGAACGAGCAAAAAAAAAAATCAATTTGAGCATTTATGTATTTAAATAACACATTATAGAGCAGGAAATTATGTCTGATGTAAAGATTCATGATTGCTCACTTGAGCAATCATCTTTTACTGCTAAACATGCAAATCAAAAATCTCTCAAGTCACAGGTTCTTATAAGTAGTGCTTTTGTTCTAGTGGGGTTTTTTTTGTTGTTTTTTTTGCACTCATTACCAGTGGAGCTTTTTTATACTCATAAAACCTAAAATGGTAAAATTAAGTACCATATTTTTCAGCTTATAAGTCACATTTTTTTTGCATAGTTTACATGTCCTGCAACTTATAGGCCAAAGCAACGTCTTTAAGGATTTTTTGCCATATTTATAAAAAATTTTTGGCTAAGATATGACAATTTTTATTCATACTGACTGAAAAATAAATTGATCAGTACCATTTTCAGCACTAGATGGAGGCAGAGTATTAGTAGCAGTAAGGCATGCCGTTGTGTCATGTAATAGGTAAACGTGGCTACAATGACAAATTCAAAAAAGTTCCATACAAAAACAATTGGACTATTTATTATACTTTACTTTATACTTTATTAATTTTGTCTTGAACTTTTTTGAATATACCATGTCCTGGATGACTGAGAAGCTTCATCAGCTATTAATGACACAATTAGCTTGCCCCCACCTTCATTTTGTTTGCTGCTTAGAGCAAGTCAAACCAGCTGCACCGCCCTGGCGAAATGCAGCTAATTTGACCATTAAAGTGCATTTATTAAGTAAAAGTTCAACTGAGCCACACCTTTACTATAATATCAAGCAAACAAATAATTGATTTAGATGCTTTTCTTGTTAAATTTCAAAGAAATGAGCAGCGTTCGTCCCTCCTTTTTTTCCTCCCTGTCTGCGCGCTCCTGGAGCACCGAGGCAGCGAATATGGATGATTTGACCGTTAAAGTCCTTTTTATTAAGCAAACGTTAGACTGAGACACACATTTACTATAATTTCGAGCAAACAAATAACTGTTTTTTGGTGTTTATATTGTTAAATTTTGTAGAAATGTGGAGGCTTGTCCCTCTGCGCGTGCCCGCTGCTTCTGCGAATCTGGTTTTGAAATACAGATGATTTGACTGTCAAAGTGCATTTATTAAGCAAAAGGTAGACTGAGACACACCTTTACTATAATGTTGAACAAATAAATAATAGTTTTTAAGTGTTAATCTTATTAAATTCTTGTTAAAGTCCTCCCGTGCACGCTCCTACGGCTGCCATTTGGCAGCCCATTGATTTTTGGCACAACACGGTCCGCATTTCCGAATTGTCAGTGGTGACGTATAATAGATGCGACTTATACGGCGAAGCAACATATTTATGGATTTTCCCACTTTTTTAGACATATTTGGACTGATGCGACTTATAGGGCGGAGCGACGGGTACTGCGGAAAATACGGTATTATAAATCAGAAATTTATTATCGTACTTGCCGCCATACACGTCACACCACCGTATATCCATCCATCCATCCATCCATCCATTATCTTTACCCGTTTATTCCATTTTGTGTCACGGGGGTCGCTGGTGCCCATGTCCAGCAATCACTGTGCGAGGGGAGGGGTACACCCTGGACAGGTCGCAAGTCCATCACAGGGACACATAGAGACAAACGAGACAAACAACCATTCACTCTCTCACTCACACCTAGGGACAATTTAGAGTTACCAATCAGCCTAACATGCATGTTTTTGGTTTGTGGGAGGAAACCGGAGCACCCGGAGAAAACCCACGCATGCACAGAGAGAACATGCAAACTCCACCCAGAAAGGCCCCTGGACCAGGGTTTGAACCAGGGACCTGCTCGCTGAGAGGCAGCAGCTCTACCAGTTGCGCCACCGTGCTGGCAGCTATTATGCATCACCGCCGACAACTCGGAAACATGGGCCGCTGTTGTGCCAAAAATCGATGGGCTGCCAAATGGCAGTCGCAGGAGCGTGCATGGGAGGACTTTAACAAGAATTTAACAAAATAACCACCTAAAAACTATTATTTGTTTGCTCGACATTATAGTAAAGGTCTCAGTTGACCTTTTTCTTAATAAATGCACTTTAATGGTCAAATCAACTGCATTTTGCCTGGGCGGCGCAGCAAAATGCTAATTTGATGTTTGCTCCAGGAGTTTTGGAGCGAGACAAAGATGGCTTACTGTGGCAAGACAAGTGTCTCATTAATAGCCACTTTTACCTATTAATGAGCACTTGGCTTGCCATATTACTCGAGCACCCTCTAGCAGCTGAAAATGGTAGTGTTCAATATTTTCCATGTTAGAATGAATTAAATCGTCAGATCTCAGCCAAGAATTGGGTTATAAATATGAGGGGAAAACATAAATTAGTTGCTTTGCCGTATAAGTCGCAGGGGTATGCTATTTTATGCAAAAAGGTGCAACTTGTATAATGAAAAGTATGGTAATAGAAATTGCCAGCAATGCTAGTGTTTGCAGGTAAGGCTAGATTTGGGGTGTTCATATTTCAAGAGAAGAAACTGTTAGATATGCTACATTTTCAACATGCAAACATGAAGTCCTGTAAAAAAATTAGACACCAAGGTGGATTGATTTTATTTAAAAAAAATTGAAGCTGTAGTTGTTGGGTATGTACGCCTATTGCTAATTTTATTTTCCGTCTCCCACTAGTTGTTTTAAAGTGGTGAAACCATCAGATAGGGTCGTGGTTTACCACGGTTGCTGTGAATTATAAAATGATCATATATAAATGCAATTCAATCTCTAACTCATCACTCTGCTCTCAAGTCATGCAAAACAGACCACTGCAAGTGGGCTTGAGATAGAGCAGAAACGAGTGAGAGAAAATGTAAAAGTGAGAGATGAAAGAGAAATTGAGGATGAGATTAGGGGAGCAAGTGCACAAGTGAGGGGTTTGAAGGAGAAGGATGGTGAGAGATGAAGAGCAAAAAGAAAACGAGATGGAAAGACTGGTGTGGCTAGCCAAGCAGAAAAGGCTGTCAGTCTCTATAAAAGATCTCCTCTGTCAGATTAGTATGAGAAGGCTTCTCTAGCATTGCCTCTTTCTCTTTTCTCTCCCCTGTTTTTTACCCCTCACTCCTCCTGCGTGATTCTCTCACTCCATTTCCTTCTTCATGTCTCCATCTCACGTGTCTCTGCTCACAGAATCATATACAAGACTGCTCCAGATTTTTTCTTCTGCAGTGAGGATGTATTTTTATGAAGAAAAAAGTTGGGGGGGGGGGGTCTGTTTCAATTCTTGTAGGCAAAATAGGGTTTTACATTTAAATCATTGTATTGTTCCACTGCTGAATGAAGGAACATTTGTTCACAAGACTTAAAAAATAGAATATTACTAGAAGTGATTAGTGATAATTAGTCTGCGATAGGAGCTCAGGCTGAAGAAGAAGTGCCTACAAGAAAAGTACAGAGTGGTAGTTCAGGCTGGATTTACACTCCGAGTTAATTATAATGGGTCTTTTTGAACAATCTCTCCCATTTATTATCTCTGACAGTAATGTTATGTGACACTCCGGTCTCTTACAGTCATCTGTGCAATTCTTATTGATTTTCTCCAAGTTGTCACTCTGCTGAGGGCAACATTGCCCATCCACCCCATGCCCCAAGCATGACTTTGTCACGCATCAACAACGGTTCTTTAGGGCAAACAATAAATTCTGTTTTTATTTATTTGTTTTTTAATTAAAAGCGCTGATTTACAAGTAGCTCTGATCACATTTTCTTGCCTGTGTGTTTTGTTTTTTAAGTCATATCCAGTGAATGGTTTGAGCGATGAGGATTTCAACATCCCACCCATCACACCTCCCACATTACCAGACCACATGCTGCCCCCTCACCTGCCCCATGATTCTTCTGGACTGTACCACTCTGTGGAGCCCCCATCCAGTTCAGCTCCACACCACCACCCCTTCCAGCTGCAAGCTGTGGAGCTGTCTGGCATGCCTGGCAGGCAGGATGGAGCTGCTGTTCTGAACCAAGATAGTGGCACGTTCAGCCCTGGAGGCGGACCCATGACCAGTACTCTGTCTGTGGTGAGTAGTTCCAAAAAGTACACACTTTTTGCCCACCTCCAAAGGTGATGAGGTGTTTACCCGTTTCTGTTTGTGTGTGTTATTTGTTTGTCTTTCTCATCAAAAGGTTTTAGTTTAAATCTTTGGTGTGAAAAGCAGCATGCAAAGTATGTATTCCTTCAAGGAATGCTAAGCCTTAAATTAAACTTGACTTTATGCTTCAGCAGTGCAGAGACTGAGAAACATGACGCTAGAATGTAGCGATTTATCTGCTTGTCGTCTACAGACAAGAATGTTAAACTGTTATTGACAGTTTTAGCTGAGTTAAGTAACTTTGTGAAGTTTACTTATTATAACAATTGAGGGTTCTTAGTGTTCACGGTGCACAAACTAAAACAAAATGCCACAATAACTAGATCTGCATCAAAACCCTCATACTATATAAAATGTTATGCTCCAAGGTATTTATATACACAGCCGTAACTTTTGCTTGCTTGAATGGAGTGAGTACCGGTACATATGATCATTGTTCTGAACTCACCGTACCTGTGCTGTATTCAGATATGCCTTTGTTAAAGTTTAACATTAGATGCATAAAGTAAATAACCATTTCCCTAATAATAACTCAAGATGAACACTTGTACATATATTTTTATTTTCATGTTTGTGTTTTTGGTACCATTAGAAACAACTTCAAAATGAACTGTCAGAGGACAATTTTTTTTAATTGTCAAAAAAAAAATAAAAAAAATGTGTGTGTGGGGTGGAGGGTAAATTTGTTGATAGCTTTATCTGAACTCTTTATCTGAATTTATCTAGAATTGCGCTGCTCAAGGTGGCTACATGTTGGAGCAGCTCAGTTACTTTCATTCTGAGTTATTGCTTTTGAAAACTTTAATTCCTCTTTTTTTCTGGATGTAAATCGCTTTTTTTTTTTTTTTTTGGACGATTACTTCGTCTGGTATCGGATGCTGTGCAGCTGGAAGGATTTTTTACTGAATCCTTTTTACTTTAAGGCATTTGTTATGATGCGTAACCATGGCAACAAGGTGGGGTTTTTTTTTACCAACCAAAAGCAGCTGATTAACATCTCAAATGCTCAAATACCTCAACTACAGCCCCAAATCCCATATGAGTTGAAAAGGAGGTGCCGTGGACGAATTCCCGTCAACCTGGAGGCGGTTGCTCGAGTACCTGACCGCCGAGATCCTGGAGCTGGTGAGAAACTTGGCTCGTGACAACAGGAGGACCGAGATCATCCCCGGGCACCTTCAGCTGTCTGTCCGTGGTGACAAGGAGCTCGGCAGACTGCTGGGAGGAGTGACCACCACTCAGGGAGGAATTCTGCCCGGCATTCTGGCAGTCCTGCTGCTTAGGAGGACCGAAAGGCCCACCGGATCTGACAGCTGGATCCGGGTTGACCGGTATCTGTGGCCAGATTCTTTGACTTTACTGCAGGAGATCCTTCCTGCCCGCAGCTATCAGCATCTACATGTAACAACTCTTGAATGAAACCAGGATGATGAGCTACGACAACACTTAATTTCCCTTTGGGATTAATAACGTATTTTTGAATTGAATTGAATTGAATCACTGTAACCCAGAAGTTCTACCAGAACCAGACTGACTGTTTTGGTACCGCTGAGATAATCTTAAACAACCGTGCATAAATATGAGCAGCACCACCATTTTAACGCTCTTGTAGTTCAGAACATTTTAATAAAGATTTTGACACCGTTTGCCTCCATTAATCCTTTCACCACTACAATAATGTAAACGTTGCTTTGCCTCAGCTGCTTCTCCAACAGGGAGAAAGTGCTGCCCTGAGTAGATTTGATACTCGAAAGTCGGCTTATTCTTTATCAAATGGACTTTGACTTCACCCGCTGGAAGTTAAATGAGAATCTCAGATCTGAGCTGACAGCCAGCAGTGATGTTTTACCTGTATTCTTTTATATTTCACTCATTGTAACAGTATGAAACGACATGTTGCCCGGGGCGGTGTTATTTGAAGGCCAGTCGTAGCAGCTGGTCAACCTGACATTTGTTTCAGATTTTAGTTATCATTTCACAGTAAAGTGAAAATCTTGCTTTTAGCGATGACATTCCCATGTGACAGACTTTGTCATACAAGAAATGAAAGTTGTGCCCAAGACTCGCAGTTAGTTCTCTGTCATAGAAACTGGCTGTTCATAACTGTGCCGGAGGTCTGTAAGTGTCAGTATGTGTATTACAGGTCGCTGCTGTTTTGATTAAGAACAAAACTTTCTTACCTCCCACTCTTGATCTTTCAGTTCTTCTGTTTCCTTCATCTCTGCATTAATTGTGACTGCTGAAATATTAAGTTGAAACACACAAACCTAGAAGCTCTCAACCCTGATTTGAGTCTGTTTGGATATGAAACACAACAACAGATACTTTCTAGTGCGAATGTTTATGAAGCATTCACACTATTGTCATCCATTTTTCTTTCGTAGGTTTTTCAGCTTGATTCTCGTCCCGCAGTTTTCAATCTACAACAAATCATAAATCAAAATGTTCAGCTCTGTCAGGACAATCCTGCTATGACTTTTGGTATTGGTGCAACTTTAGCTTTTTGGAATATTTAGCCTTTTCTGCCATTTTTTTCTCATAGAAAATGAATTGAGCTCATTTTACATCCTTCACATTTTTCGATCTGTTTATAACCTTTTACTGCTCCTTTCACAATTTGTTCTGGTTCAGCTTCTTTCAGCTTACTTGTTCAAATGTAAACAATTTTTCAGCTACTTTCAGCTGTTTTTTCAGCTATTTTGTTCCCCTTTCAGATTATTTCAGTTAACTACAAAATTTTTGTGCTTCTTCTAACTTATTTCTGCTAATTTCAGCTTTTTATGCTCCTTTCAGCTTATTTCTAGAAGTTTCAGCTTTTTCTGCTGTTTGAGCTACTATTTAGCTGTTTTATGCTAATTTTAGCCTTTTCAGCTAATTCCATACGTTTTGCACTCATTTCAACTTTTTTCAGCCTAATTCAGCAAAACCTGTGCTCTCTCCACTTCCTTTTCTGCTTTTTAGCTGCTTTTTGGCTGTTTATTGCTAATTCCAGCTTTTTTTCAGATAATTTCTGCTTGTTGCAGCCTAATTAGGCACATGTTCTTTCTACTTTCTTCTGCTAATTGAAGCTTGTTCTACTGTTTCAGCTACATTTTTAACATTTTCTTTATCTAATTTCAGCTGTTTTCAGATAAGTTCAAGTGTTTCATGGTAATTTTTGGTACTTTCAACCTAATTAACATTTATGGTAATTTCAGCTTTTTATGCTCCTTTCAGCTTTTTTTTTTTTTTTTTAGCTAATTTCAGCTGTTTTCCAGCAGTTTCTTCTGCAATAAGCATTCACACTGCATTTTCACAGGAAATGCAATTTGTCTTGTTTGTATTTTAAATTCAGATATGTGATTAACTTGTCTGTTAATTGTAAAACAGAGTTCATTTTAGTCTTCCTAAAAGGAAGGTCTCTTTTGCTCAGCTCAGTTCTACTTCTTCCTCTGTCTCTCTCAATATCTCGACCTCCTTGTTATATTTTCATACCAACATACATTTTACTGCCGGTCCATGAATTATTGTTGCCTAGCAACCATGCTGGGCTCAGCCTAATCGGGTTGGGTAGAAATAGGAGCAGAGAGGCTGAAGTCAAAGTGTGTGTTTATTATTCTAAATGGAGCGAGACTGTTCGGTTGTCATTAAATTTAACTTGTGGACTGCTCTTTTTTAATTTGCTCTTGCTGCTTTCTGAATGTTGACTGTGCAAAGTAATTTGTTTAGAGCAATAACTTCACTCTTCTCTCGGTTTCTATTTGTAATAGCTTAGTTTGAGGTTATAACTTCTTATATCCTCTGATTATTTTGAACACTCCCATATCATCTTAACAAGAAAGCATATTTAGGTTGTATTTTAGCTGGTCAATTTATCAACATCGGTTGGAATGAAGGAGTTTTGCTTGTAAATTTAAAAGTAAAAATTAAAAAAAACTAACAAAGCATCTTTCTGCAGAAACTATATTAATTTACAAAGAAATAAAATTAAAAAATTGAAGACTAATTCCATGTTACAGTTCACATTTGAAACTATTTAAAACAACAAATTATATTTTCTTCAAAAAATTTACTTTCTCTAATATTTAAATTACTTTCATCCCACCTGAGCCATATTTTAAATGGGTTAAAATTAAAGAGTTCTATTTTACAAGTTGAAAAAATACAAAGTTATAGCTTGTAAATTGGCTTTAACATTTAATAGTAAAAATTTTATCAAATTTAAATGTTTTTTTTTTAACTTAAATAAATGGCAAAAAGTTTAGGAACCCCTTACTCATGACTGTGACTGCTCCATCAGCGTCTTCATCAGTGTCTTCATCACAGTCAAAATGTGTCCTAAACCGTCAGTTTTGGTACGAGACTTTTTCATGGTGTTCATGGTGTTCATGGTGTTCATGGTGTTCATGGTGTTCATGGTGTTCATGGTGTTCATGGTGTTCATGGTGTTCATGGTGTTCTGCATTTTGCATTCAGACCAATTCAGATTTGTCTTGGGTAAAGGCAAGAACAGATTCAGAGTTGTGCAGCTCTCCTTTGCATTTTGAAATGTTATCTACAAACTGCACCATGGACGTGAACCCACTTCATGCTCCAAGAACTTCAACCCTGACATGAGTCAGTACTTACTCAGACATCAGGGGTTCTCCCATCACCACCCTCTCTGTTCTCTCCCGCAAAGGGAAAATGTGATGCGTGTTTTTTTTATAATTCTTTCAAGTCTGAAATGGTTTTTACATTGTCGTTGTCTGTATTAGGCACTCAAGCCCTTTGATGTGACCTTCTAAAACACCTCTATTACATACTTTTTATTTATTTTGCTACAGTATGTTGTGATACATTGTAATTAGGGTGACATGACACATTGTAATTATTAAGTTTGTCATTCTGAGATGACTTATATTAAAGGCGCAGCACATTTAGGAATTGTAGGTCTTTCTATCCATGAA